GTCTGAGCATTTTCTTCTGGCACATTGCACAATGTGACAGGCATCTGTCATGTGTTTGTTCTCTCAGCTTTTCCACCAGAAGGCAAGTGTTGTCAGTAAACTAGTTTGTTTTGAAAAATGTGTGTATATAATTAGGTGTACTTGTGTGTGTGTGTATGTGTAAATGCAGCACACATACACACACATGCAAACTGAGTATCTGCTTCTCCTAGAGGTGTGAAATCCCCACAGAAAGCTCTGTCTGCTGTACACTCAAGTCAGCGCAGTCCATGTGGTATGAGAGAAGCAAAGCTGCTATGAGACTATAAACATTTTCTAAACAATATTGCAGACAGAGGAGTAACAAAGTATTCCTCGGTGGAGTGGCCTTATTCAGGTTATGACTCCAAGGCAGCCTCATGAGTGCAGTGATGTTCCCTGGGCACGGTGTTTGGCCGAGCACCCCCATTGCTCCCAGCAGAACTTACCACAGTGCAGAGACCAAATAAGTGCTCAGCATGTGGAGTCTGTGGTGTTGAGAGGCCTCAGCATCCCTGGAGCACATCTAGCATATCAGCATGAGGAGGTCCTGCTGCCATCCTTCTCCACCTTCCCTTCTGTCCATTAGCCTTTTATAGTGTTTAGTCCTTGGTCAGTGGTTATTGCTTATTCATGTATGATATCTCGTGGTAGCTTCCTTAGCATTTACCTCTAATGCCTTGTTTCAACCATCACACCTGGTGTCAGTGCTGGTGTTTCCACTTGATTGCTCCAGGTCCTATTTCTGCAGGGTTTTGCAGCACTTTTTTTAAGATTATAAGGCTTCACACCCCTAGTTACTGGACAGCTGACTATCCCTACTGAGTCACAACTGGCACCTAGGCATAGGACTAAGGCAAGTTTCCCTTCAGCCCTTTCCTCCAGACACCTATGACCCACTTCTAGAGAGTGTTTGTAGTCACGCTGATTACTCTGACTCACTGAGCAGCAGAAAATCAGTTGATTAAAGTGGTTGGAGGTGTTCCTAAGATAGTGCTAAATTATTGAAGCAAGTTTGGGGTACCTTGGCAGTGCAGTGTAAAGCTGCCATAAGAGCATCGCTGCTCTATTCATGACTAGTTTGGTGCTTCACAGGCAGAGGGGGTTGTTGCTTACAGAAACCTGCAAAATCTTACTAAGCTGACCAGTAATGCAGCTACCATTGTGTTGATGTGGTGTGTATCCATATAACGTGTAACAACACTATTTGTAGGTGGGCAGACATTGACAAGGACCAAGAGGTCCAGCACGTTTTCTCAAGGGGAGCTCTGTGCTCACTGTTCCCACCAGTTTCCTATTATCACCCTTATATCACCTTTATCACCCTATCACTCCTTTTCTCTCCTCTGGTGATGTAATCTCCAAATACTGGGGATCACTGTAGGAGTCCTATTGATAGATTTGAATATCTGTATGGGTTAATTTGCAATCCCCTGGGCTAAAGGCAAAGTCCACCCTGGAGACAGAAAATTTGAATTCATCTTACTCATAGTGCTGGCATTCCTCCTAGGGAGCTCCCCAGGTATCTGCTGGTGTTGCAATAAGGGATGAGCTGAGCAGGGTACCCAGCTCCATTAGACACAGCTTGGAACACTTCTTGCATGGTTTGTGTTAGAGCCTCCGTGAGATTAGCAGGGTGAGACATGCAGCCAATGACCCCATTTTCTGTGTGCGTCTAGACCACAATTGTTGGTAGAGTTTTTCTACATGGATACACTGTTGGATTGCTTACTTGATCTACTTTTTGCCTTACTGCTCCCACCTTCTGCAGTACTGACACCCCATGCCTGCATTAGCAGCATAGCATGGGGTTCTTCTGTGGTGTGGTTTCTCCACCTGAAATATCACGTCACTCAGCACAAAACGCTCTCCCTTGGTAGCATTAGCTCCCTTGGTGCAGCTGGAGCAGTGATCGCCAGGATAGATGTCATTGTGAGCTTTTAGCAGGGACACAATCCACCACATGGGCCTTTCCTGCTTATCTACTACACTCCAGGGTGTACTTGGATTGGCTTGGGCAGGACAGTGCTTGAACCCTATAGCTGTTGGATTAGTGTTTAGCCAAAGTAGACTACTGCACCTAAGCACTCTCACAGGGATAGGTGGTATTTTTTGCACCTGAATTGCAAGCAGTTTAAAAGTGATGTGCCTAGTCGGATTGTTGTCTCTTCAGGGAATCCACAGTTTTGTTTCTCCCTTCTTAGGTGAGTGACACTTTCTCCCCTCACTGCACTGGCAATGTACCAAGCTTGAGATAAGTATGAGACTGAAGGCTGCAAAAAAGAACCTCCACATGTAGGTTGGTTTTCCCTGTAACAGTCTCCTGTCCCCTTCCTGATAGTTGACCATTGCCTGAATTTCGTTTGTATGCTTCCCTTACTGTTGTGTTTGATTCTCCATAGCCAAGGTCTCGTGTCCTACTGTTGCTACAAGGGTTGGGCTGGGAACATGTGACAGAGGTGTGAGCTGGGAGATTGTCACAATAGTGCCAGAGGGGAAAATTGAAGGTGAGAGTGGAGAATGGCACAGCTAGAGCCATCTCCTCAGGGTTACATCCTTCCCTTATTGGGTTATGAACTAAGAAACCTAGTTTCTGTATAAGAAATGTAGAAACTACCCAGTCCCAGAGCAACAAGGGCCTTCTGCCAACTCCTCTCCATCTGTATCTGTGCCAGGGCCAAGCTTGTACTTCAGCAATGAGAGTTATGTCAGCTCCATGTCAGTTGTCTCTTTTGATTGTGTAGCAACAGGCCTTCCCCTCATCCTAGCTCACATATCACCTTGACATGGATCTTGCTCAGTTGGGCAATATTCATATGGTGTAGGCAGACCAGCCTGTTCTGCAGCACAGCCGGGTGGTGCATCCGATGGACACATCCATCCAAGCAACCTCCCCAAGTAGGTCTGGTTCACAGTGGATATTTTGGTACCTGCTACAGAAACAATGACAGAGGAGTGCAAGAAAGTTGCACTTACCGCTTGTGCCTCAGGAACATGGGGCTGGGTGCAGGATCCTGCCTTGTTCAGTTTCCACATAGCTGTATAGGTTGCAATCATCTCTCCCTCATGTCTTTGGACAGCCACTGATTGGTGAGATTGTTGTCTTCAGCATGGATATCTGTAAACGAAGTATAATTCACTTTTTCCAGTTCCAAACTTTACAGTTTATAGTATCCCACTTCACCTGTGTTGTCCTCCTTATGTGAAGTTACAAGATTTCCAGTCTTCATTACTTTTTTACCACTCTAAACTATTTTGCTGGATCCATCCATGAAAAACCATATGCTTCTGATCCACCAGTGTTTTTTCTTAGTGGAAGGCCTCTAGGATGTGGGTGCTTCAGGCCCATGTTCCTCCTTACAAGCAGATGCACTCTGTTTCAGAAGTTTTTTGCACTGAGTTAAGATCTGGCTGCCTCTGTGTTTGGTGCTTCTACTGACAAGATGAAGGTGCACATTTGCTAGGCAATGGGAGGCATCCTGTCTACTCTCTCCTGCTAACAGAGTCCATGCCACCATGTGTGAGCTGGGTACATCAACCTGGTCACCCATCAGGGCTCCTGTTTTACAGTGCTCATTAGGGAAATTTGCTTCTGAGCCTTTGCGTAAGGAGCTGTTCCTACTTCAGTAGGAACCACCAGTGGGTGAGAGCCTTCATGGCTTAGTGAAAGTACCAGCCCCTGGCCAGGTGCACTGCATTGGGTATTTCCTCTCTCAATGTTTGCAGTTCCTGCAGTATTTGTATGAGTCCTAGAGATGGACTTCCCTTGTGTGCAGGGCCAGAGTGATACTGGTCTTTTATGTGTTGGTTTGCTAGGAGTTAAGGTCAAAAAGAAGCTTTCTCTTTGGTTTTACTGCAAAGGAAGCAAATCCTGAAGTCTTAATTTTCAGCACAATGAATGAGAAAAAAAAAAAATCTCAATATTGCCAGGTAGTTTATGTGTTTAGGACACAGTCATTACTAGTGCAGATTAAGGGCACCTACACAGGCTCCAGACAGCCTGATCCTCCATTACTTCTCTTCACTCACTAAAGCAGATTATTTTGAGGGATTTCATCCATGGGAAGTTTAAAGATCTCAAAATGCCATTTTTTCCCAATCATGATGAAAGGATGAAATCTGGGACCATTTCAGAACACATTTCACCCTCCTTAAAGAGGTTCATTCTGCTAGTATCAAAATGTTTCATTGACTTCATCATATGATTCATTTGAATAATTTACCACTGATAGAATATCTATCAGGTGAAGAATTAAATAAATTAAACATTAAATTTTCAAAGAAAATGCATTAATAACATTTACCTTGAAAATTAACATAATACTTCTGACCTATTTCTACTCAGTCTGATCAGCATCTTGTGATACAAAATACTTACATGAGACATTTTTCAAAAGCTCTGAAAATAATTATCCCCCAGCAGCAATAAAAAGCCAGGCATTCAGCCAGGAATAGTATCTCAGCCTGGTACCCCAGGAAATTCCTCCTTCTGTCATGTTAACCTTATTGAAGGATGTCTTTGGCAATGCTAACTGCTGCTGGTGTGAAAAGACAACAATTAACAATTATAATCACAAAATTGCTTTAAAGAAACCTCTTCCTTTTGATGCTTTGCTGGGAAGAGTCTATGTCACCTCTCTGCAGTGGTTTCATCTGCCTGTTAACAATATTCATATCATGACATGCTTTTCCTTCCCTCAGTTTCAAGAGGGCTCATTCAATATTGGAAGATGTGCTGAAGTGCCACCAAGCAACAGCAGACACCTGCAGAGATACAAACATACCTCATTTATTTTTCCCCAAATGAGCTTCCATGATAATCTAAACCATCCCAAATTCTCCCTGATGTCTGAGAGTCCTGGGCATGTGCTCTGAAGCAATGGGCAGAAAAGCTTGCATATGTGTAATATTTTTGAGCCATGAATAGATAAACTTTATGACGATTGATGTGTGACAAAGTCTTTTCTCTCTTTCCCAAACAGCTAATATGCCAGAGGATTATCCAGATCAGTTTGATGAGGTAGTGGACTTTATTCAAGCCACTATTAAAAGACTGAGGAGGTCACCAGATAAACAGACTCCAATTTTTTCTAGGCGGGAGAGGAACCGTCAAAACGCAGTGACAAACATAGAGAATTCCAGCAAGAAGGGAAGGAGGAATCAAAAGGGCAAAAATCGAGGATGTGTTTTAACAGAAATACATTTAAACGTGACTGACTTGGATTTGGGATATGAAACCAAAGAAGAGCTAATTTTCCGGTATTGCAGTGGATCTTGTGATGCAGCTGAGACCACCTATGACAAAATTTTAAAAAACTTAACCAAAAAGAAAAAACTGGTCACTGACAAAGTGAGGCAAGCTTGTTGCAGACCCACAGCCTTTGATGATGACCTGTCCTTTTTGGATGACAACCTGGTTTACCACATACTGAAAAAACATTCCGCGAAAAGGTGTGGATGCGTCTGACAGCTGCTTTCCAGAGGCAGCATCAGTTTTCCCTTCCTACTACACTGCAAAGAGAGGGACCAAGGTTCCCAGGGAAGTGTCTACTCGGAGTGGAGAAAAAAGGACCAAGAACACAGAATGAGGAGCCATGAGAGCCTGGGAATGGGGGGACATGAAGCAGAGTAGAAGGATGGAGACTTTTGATGTCCTATGGGGATTTAGATAAAAGCTCAGGTGGAGATGCCGATGGATGGATGGTGTGCACGCTACCTTTCCTGTTTGACTCAGTCCACCATCAGTGAGACTCAATCCATGAGGAACGTGCTTAAAAACGCAACCCTGCCATACCGCGCTGTGTTGTAGTTATGCCATGATATACCAGTTATACCAAGAAGCTTAGCTAAGAAGTAGGTTAGGAGTACCTTACTAATCCCCTGTGCCCTCAGCTCTACTGAAAGACACATTGTGCTGCTGCTCATTGGAGGGCAGTTCCTGAGCGCTTAGGACAACTCCTAAGCTATACTAAGATTAACCTTGTAAGTAAGATGATATTGGGCAAATATCAAAAAGGCTAGGCTCAAGTTCTCACAAAGCAAAACAGTTCTGCTTACTGGCTAAGTTTGGTTATTTCCATCTCGTGTTTCTTCAAAACAAGTGCAGGATTTCATTCTTCTGCTACCTATGAAAACAAGTTGAGTTTTTAAGCACTTCTTCCTAGTATAGTAAGAGAAATAACAAGCCCAGCCTACACAAAATGCATTTCTTTAGGTTTACAAAGGACTAAAGTCACTTGCGTAACTACGTTTCTATTTGGTCATTGTGAGTGAGCAGAGACTACTTGATGCAATGCATCCCTTCAGAGACATAAATATACAGAAGATATTTATTGCGATTAAGTTATTGTTATTTATTACAGTTCAATAATGAGTCTCCTTATTTATTAAAGTGTCTTTCAAAGGTGCCAAAGTAGATGGCACTTGGGGATATAGAGAGACAAAGACGTTGGGAACAACGGTCCATGCTTTTGATTGAAAGTGTTAACTTGAATGCAAAAAATCACTTACTTTACCTTTTTTTTTCCTTTAAACAAAATCTTGATTATGTTCACAAAAGGTAGTGCCGAAGCCTGCAGCCCTGCTTCCTATTCACTAATCCTTTAGAAAATTTCTGCAGTCAAACGTGCAGGAGCAGCAATGGCTCTGGACGAGTGAGGGTTGCAGGACTTGGCTCAACATTAGCAATTTGTTAGAAAAACTAATTTTAGTCATATTTTAAATGTAGCCACATTTTTTTCTCACACTTTATGCCAACTGACCTCATATAACTATTGACAAATGGAAAATAATCACATTTAGCCTTATAATTTCTTGTTATATTTATTTAAGCTTTTCCTTCCATATTTCCGTATAGAAGAGGTTAAGTTCCTCTTACTAGTTAGCCCTGGATTTAATATAATCTGCAAGTGTTTTGTATAATTTGCTGAAATATTACAGGATCGTACCCACGCAGCAGAGCAGTTCGAGTTTCCTTAGGACGAGGGAGGTGGTACAGCGAAGGTGTTCACACGTGACCGCTAATGCACACTCTCATTCTGGAGACATTTTTCGCAAAGGAGCAGGAGTACAGGTCACCAGACATACCTGACAACCAGTGAAGCATCAACTCCCACAAAAACAATATGAAAAAAAAAATTCCTACTGAAAAAGATGATCCAACCTTTTATCTCATGCATGCAGTGGCTCTCCATACTCATTTTGCCCCAGGGCCCCTCGGGGCACCACTGAGGAAGGGTCTAGAGGTCAAAAAAGTCCAGAACAGGCTTAGAAAGATGTACCAAGTATATGGCATGTAATTCATCCGTGACTTTCGCTGCTTTCCTGGGCAGATGGAGGCTGGCCCCAGAGAACCACCTGCAGGGTCTGTTCTCACACTACCAGGGAGACTCCTTACCCTCCATGCTGCTCAGGAGTGGTGACACCACCAGCACTGGCATGATGTGGGCACTAAAAGCCTGCCCAGCTGAGGGTCAGCTGCACTGCTGGGCAGCTGATGAGTGACAGCGCTCAGGGATGTGCTTTCGCTGGCCCCAGTTGCTGAAAACAAAACTTGCCCCAAAGCATTTTCTGCGCAGCTTGAAGAGGCTGCAACCAAAGCAAATCTCTATGTTCAAAATACAAAAGGGTAAAGTTTGTGATTTTTTTTTTAAAATTTTTTTAGGGTTTTAGGTTTTTTTTAGGTTATTGGTTTTTTGTTTTTGGTGGTTTTTTTGTTTTTTGGGTTTTTTTTCAGTTTTCAGACCTTACTGAAGACAGGAGTGTGCTTCTCTGGATTTTTTTACTTCACCTGCAATTATATGTCTCAGTCATTTGTGTTAATCAACCAAAGTTCTCTACAGACTTTATTTTTGTACAATATTCATTTTATAACTTTTTACAAAATAAAACTCATTTCTATTGTTACCTGATTGTTGCTTGTGCTTCTCCATTGTACCACTTCCAAGTTACAGCATTGCCCAGTTCCTAACCTGCATAAGGCGATGCTGAGAAGCCAGCAAGTCCTCTGCAAAGTGGAGCTTTCTTATCTCACCAGCATGTTTAGTGTGGATCAGAGGTGTCTGTAGCTCCTTAGCAGAACACAACGTTGTTGGGTGACTGCAATAATTGACTTGAAAATGCATGGTAAGCAGTGACAGTGATCCAGTCAATGGCAGGCTTGAAGCCTGGGGTTACCCAAGCTGTCCCTTGCCCACATGGGGCTGTAGTGTCTTTGTGGTGGCCTTGGCTATGCATGGCCACAATTCCTGCACTTGGAGGACAATTTACATTTTGCATTGCTAATATAGTCATTACACCAGTTGGACTAAATTCCATCCACTTTGGCAGTTCTTTTTCCTTCATCTTTAAAAAGGAAAATAAAACTTGAGGAATTTTCTTTTCCACCACCATCACGGAAAAGATGAGGACAGGTTTTGTGGCTGTGGCCAGCAACGTTTTCTCAGCTGTTTTGTGTTAAGTGCTGCAGTTCCCATCACAGAGCCCATAAACACACGCAGACCTACAGGTTTCAACACCGGACTCTGTACTCCTCAGACTGCTACAGAGAGGAAGAGGGAGCATCTGAGCAGCGAGCCAGAGTGCATGAGATCAAACACGCTTAATGGGCAGCATATGGATGCCTTGGTTTCATTCGTGCTGACGGGGGCCACGCACGCAGCTCTATCCCAGCTGCTGGAGTGCAAAGCAAAGCTTGCAAGCCCTGCCTTTGAAGCGCACAGTATTGAAGGCATTCCTCCTCACATGCCACCGCCTCCACCCCTTGTAGCAGAAAACCATCAGTCCATCCACGACAAGCAAAAGCTGCACACATGAAGTGTTCAGCATGGAAATGAATTGCAGCTTCATGTTCAGAGAAGATGGTGCACTTTCCCAAGGGTTCGTGGGAGTGTCTTTGTAAAACACAGCTGTGAGGTGCTCTGAAGTTTAATCTCCAGTCTTACAGCCCAGAACTTCTGTCTGCGCTTGCATGGATGGGGAAGCACAAAGCCAATGCACAAGTCTTGCTTGGCCTTACCACAGGCTTTGAGTGGGTCACGTAACAGGTGGCAGGAGCAGCATTGCTTTTGTGGAGCTGTTTCACCCTCCTTGGAGAGAACAGATGGGGCTTTGCTATTGCAACTCCAGGCTCACTACTGCTGGGCTGGCACCTTCAAGCTCCTTTTCTGGTTAAAGTGAGGCTTGTGGTATTTTTCTGGCATCCCACATGCGTTAAAGCAGCTTGAAACCTTCAGCTGGCAGACTGTGTAAAAGATTTCAAAAAGGACTTAAACTTTCATTTGTTACTGTGTAGTGCCAGCACTGGGACAGACACTGTGTTGCTGCCTGAGTAGCAAGGACAGCCCTACCCTAGGTTCCTTCTGGATGGATAAGGCATCTCCCAAACTCAATAATTTTTTTTACAAGAGAGGGTGATCCAAACACCATAAAAACATTTACTCAGCACAATCACGAAGACATTAAAAGTTTTATTACTTGACATCTTGATAAGGCTTTTTTATTTATTTTATAATATTGTGTTGGATTTTGTTGGATTAGTTAGCACTGTGCTGCCAGACAAGAATGGCTCTCTAGAGACTTGGGACAAATTATAAACATCTAAGGGAAAAGCAGGTGTTTTAAAAGGAGGGCACATTTAGTGATGCAACTTGGAAGTCTGATCCTCAGTTAGTCCCCTTCGGCAGAAGGAATTGCAGCCATTCCACAGGCAGTGTCACCTACAGGGCATCGAGAGAGAAACTGCCATAACAGCGGGTCCTTCTGCCATCTCTCTATGCTCTCCATCCCACAGCGGACTGGTGCTGCTTGTCTCAGTACAAACAGGATGAAATGGGCAAAACTGCATTTGATTTTAGGATGTTTCACCACTTCCCACAAAAGGGGAGAAAGGACAAAAGCAGCCAGTGCCTCAGTCTGTAGTACCACGGGAGGAAACCAGAAGCAACCTCGCTCCTTGCAGTCTGGATGGCTAAACAAAAATACAGAGAAAAATATCAGGATGAAGAAAACAAATGGAGCTGACACATTGTATAAATAGGTCTTCAAATGTCATGCATGGCTGGAACAAAGATGTTTTGTTCCAAAGCAAGAGACAGCTTGAAATGGCTCAGTAATACACATTGAGAAGTTTGCTTATTTGGAACAGAGCTCTTCTAATGAAAAGGTTAATTGTGTTGCAATGGAAAAGAAAAAAGGCATAGCAGAAGCCAGTCCTGCACTCCTCACCCTAACAAAATTTCCCACTGGCTCAAAGTGAAGATTTTCTATCACAAACATCACAGGACTGAACTACTAACATTCCAATAAATTATAAAGTAGATATATTCACGGGTCAATAAGAATAACTAAATAAACCATATATTCTAGCAGCACTAATCCTGCTGGCTTTCAGGCAAGTTGCAGCAGCATCCAGTGAGAGAAACATGGTGCTTGGCTCAGCATGAAGAAGGGAAGTTTCCTTGAGCAGGCACCGAGCACCAGTACTCAGGATCAGCATTGAGACATCTTCACTTACCATTGGCTTTTTCACTTTGAAACTGCAGCATTTTATTCACTTTTCCCCCAAAGGTTCACTCACAAATGAAGCGGAGAATTGGCAAATAACACAATGAGCTTTTGAAGGCTGAAAAGGGCTACTGTAATTACCCACAGGGTAATTAAAATTTATCTGCAGCTTCTCCAGCTTTTTGACAGTAATCTGAGCCCTTCCACATGTGAAAATTTTCTCCCCTGTGCCCCAAACCCTTGGTTTCCTTTCTGCTGGCACACTGGATGAGGAAAGGTCCCTTCTCTGTCACCCCAGGGAAGGTGCAAGCATCAGTCCCCAGTCCAGAGTTGTACACCTTAACCCCAAGTGGTCCTGGCAGATCTAAAGCCATGTACACCCTCACCAGTACTGCTCCACTGACTGTTGTGGAGTTACTCCTGTTTCATAGGCATGTAAATAAGTATATACTGTTTATTTTCCTAGCAATATTCACATACAGTTAGAAAGACTGCATCCTTGTACAATCCCTCTAGACCTTCTGTTTCATAGAATCATAAAGTGCTTTGGATTGGAAGGGACCTTAAAGATGATCTCATGGCAACCCTTCTGCCATGGGCAGGGATGTCTTCCACTAGAGCAGGTTGCTCAGTGCAGAATGTAACATGTCCTTGAACACTTCCAGGAATGAGGCATCACCAGCTTCCCTGTGCAACCTGTTCCAGTGTCTCACCACCTTCACAGTTAAAAATTTCTCCCTAAGTTTACCATCTTCAGTTTGAAGTCATTCCGCCTTTTGCTATCATTACATGTGTTTGTAGGAAGTCCCTCTCCAACTTTCCTGTAGGTTTTTAGGTACCCTTTAAATACTGGAAGGCTGCTCTGGATTGTCCCTGGACCCTTGTCTTTGCCTGGCTTAATAACCCCAGTGCTCTTAGCCTGTCTTCGTAGGAGGGGTACTCCAGCCCCCTGATCACCTTCAGTATTCTGGGGTTTCCAGAGCTTTAACACATTTCTCTGCACTCTGATCATGCTACTAATTCCTCTTTTTTTTTTTTTTTTTTTTTTTTTTTTTCCCACTGGCATCCACCCATAGCTTTCTCTTCTTTGACTGTCTCATGACTCCCACATTAAACTCCGGCTTCACAGATGCTGTAAACATGTCCCATAATTCTTATTTCAGGTTAAAATCATTCCCCTCTGAGACCAGAGAGGGGTCAACAGGCATTTCTTGTTAGCATACAGTATTATTTTTAACAGCATTTTCAATCTGGGGTTTAAACATTTCCTTTAAAGAACTCACAGCTTAGAGATCCACTTTGGATAACTCTGTATTTTAAAAGACACAGAGACTCCTTTCCTGCAGGACTAGGCAAGCTCTCTGGGGGTGAAAGTGGCTGCACAGTCAGGGCAGGATGGAG